TGATTTGGCGCTGTCACCCATCCAGGACAGCGCTTCGTGGCCCCATAAGGAACTCCACCGAAGCCCCCAGTGGGACCGCCCGCATGCGTTCCCCCCCATCCAGTGCAGCGCTTCGTGGCCCCATAGGGAGCTTCATCGAAAAAAGAGGTTCACGATCGTGGTGCCCACAACTGCATATGGTTGGGTCCTTCGCCAGTATAAGTCTATCGAATGTGCGTGGCACGAGCGAAGGCGAGAGCCACATTTTGAAAACCACCCGCCCACAATCCGTGAAACAACGAATGTGCGCGTCGCTAAAGCGAGAGCCACATTTTGAAAACGACCCGCCTTCCATCTGTGAAACGGTTGTCAACGCTTAAAGTTCAGGGTCATAAATGGCGAGGAAGTCTCAGGCGAAACGCCCGGGCCGCCCCAAACACCGGCCTTGGGGTGCGACAGGGAAAAGTTATGTATAAGGAACATGAATACAGGAGGAGGAGGAGGGTGAAGAGGAGTTTTGTCTCGTTCCCTTCATACTCCTGCCTCCGCCTGACAGAAAAAACAGTAGGGGATGGGAATGAAATTGCGAGTTGTCGGGGCTGATAAAGCACTCGTGACAAACGATTTCGATTTCTTAGCTGCTGTGCGCCCGCCTTCACCCTTTCTTCAGAAAGCCTCGAACATAATGTCACCATGCAGTCCAACATTGAAGGGTGGCACCGCAAGCAAGCTGGACAACGTTCGATCGCACATGCCAGTCCTCCCTTTCCTGCCTCCTACCTCCAAGACGTGGGAAGTAGGAGGAAAAGAAGAAGGAGGAGGAGGAGGAGGAAGAGGAGGAGGAGGAGGAGGTTGGGGGCAGGAGGAGGAGGAGCAGAGGAGGAGAAAGGAGGTTGCTGGAGGATAAGAGGGCAGTGGCAGAAGAAACGGAGGAGAAGGAGGGGGAGGAGGAGGAGGAGGAGGAGGAGGAGGAGGAGGAGGAGATGAGGAGGAGTGGTAGGAGGAGGAAGAGGAGGAGGAGAGGAGGAGGAGAGGAGTTGAGAAGGAGGACGAGGAGCAGGAGGAGGAGGAGAGGAGGAAGAGGCGAGAGGGGAGGAGGAGCAGGAGGAGGAGGAGGAGAGGAGGAGGAGGAGGAAGGATTGATTGAAAGGGGGGGTCACGGGACCCGAGCAGGCCGCCCGACGGATGAGGAGGGGGCGGAGCGAGGAGGCGGGAGGAGACGGGAGGAAGGAGGAGAGGGACGACGACGGGGAGGAGGAGGAGGCGGAGGAGGAGGAGTTGAGAAGGAGGACGAGGAGCAGGAGGAGAAAGAGGAGGACGAGGAGCAGGAGGGGAAAGCAGAGAAGGAGGAGGAGGAGGAGAGGAGGAGCGGGAAGAGGGGTAGGAGGAGGAGGAGGAGGAGGAGGAGAGGAGGAGCAGCACAGCAGCAGCAGCAGCAGCAGCAGCATGAGCAGCAGGAGCAGCAGCAGGAGGAGGAGGAGGAGGAGGTGAAAAGGAGGACGAGGAGCAGGAGGAGGAGGAGGACGAGGAGCAGGAGAAGGAAGCAGATAAGGAGAAATACGAGGAGGAGGAGGAGGAGGAGGCGGAAAAGGGGGAGGATGAGCAGGAGGAGGAGGAGGAGGAGGAGGAGGAAGAGGCGAAGGAGGAGGAGGAGGAGGAGGAGGAGGAGGAGGAGGAGGACTGATCAAAAGGCGGAGCCACGGGACCCGAGCAGGCCGCCCGACGGATGAGGAGGAGGCGGAGGGAGGAGGCGGGAGGAGGGAGGAGTGGGACGACGACGGGGAGGAGGAGGAGGAGGAGGAGGAGGAGGAGGAGGTGGTGGTGGTGGTGGACGGCCATAAAGGCGGGTCCACGATCAGAAGAGCCCACCGTCGGAGGCCTAAGAGTCATTCTTTGAGCCGTCCGGGGCCCGGCTGCCCCAGTTCCTGAACCCGAGGCAGCTCTGACTCCAGAATCCCAAAGGCCACAAGCACCGAAGCTTGCGAGGGCACTCCTGGAAAGAAGCCTGCTGCCGACGGCGTGCACGCACTCGCGGCCGCAGCTTCGCACAGATCCACGAGTCTCTCGATTTCAGCCTGTTCATGGGAGCTCAACGGGTCTGGAGGTCCGAGCACGAGAGACCTGGTGGTGGGACGGTAGTTTGGGTGTTTGCATGCACGGAGCCGATTCAACTGGGACCCAATCCCTGGACTGGCAGGCTTGCCCAGACAACGCTCCAGGAGGGTGCGCCCCAGACGACCCGATGCATAACCCCCACACTTCTAACAGAAAACAAGATTGTCTCCCATCTTGGAGGGAGTCTCGATCGGGCATCGAACGTTGGCGTGCTGACGGAAGTAGAGTGCTTGATGGGCCTCAGCAGCCCAACACAGCTCCCCCACTGCCCCCCGCCGACTCCGCGACACCCGACGACGGAACGACCTCCCCCTCCTCATCTGCAGGGTCGGGCGGCGGCTCCGAGGGCTGGTCCCGGACCGTGGCCTCCAGGCCCACCGTGTCTTGCCTGCTCTGGCCGCTGGCG